GAAACCTGGACATTATCCAGTGTACTGGAGTCTCGTCTTGATGCCTTTTGTAATAGGTCCTTGCGCCGGATCATGGGGTACTGTTGGCGGAACCATGTGTCTAACCAACGGCTGCACCGTGAGACTGGCACAGGACCTTTTACAGGCTATATGGCCACCTGGCTCGCTTTCCACAGGCTGATCCTGCCCATCAGGTTGTCTCTGTAAGAGACAACCCTGGGTGGAGGAGGCCTGTGGGACGACCAAGGAGGTTGTGGCTTGGGCAGATCGATCAAACCTGTCGGGAAGAGCTCGAGATGGGCCGGGCCCCTGCCTGGTGACTTGCCATGAGGGATCCAAAAAGGTGGAAGCAGAAGGTGGACGCGGCTATGCGCCCCCGTCGGTGTTAGCTCCGGATGATGATGATAATAACAATAATAATGTTATTTCTATTCTCATTATTATTGTCATTTTCATCATTATAACTATTTTTATAATGATAATAACAATAAGCATAATTTTAGGAATAAAAATGATAATAATACTCATTATAATAACAATAATAATAATATTATTTCTATTCTCATTCTTTGTATGAAAATTATTAGAATAGAGTTAATCATTGCTATTATTGCAGTAATTATCAAAATTATCATTATGATTATCATGAATATTATTGTCATTATCATCATTATTGCTAATAATAAAGGAATTAGCATGAAAATCATCATAATTAACTGACTTTAAGTTAAAATCGTCATAATTATCATTTATTGTGGAGCAACACTGGGTAATATTAAGGTTACAGACCTTGACTTTGCCGATGATGTTGGAATTCTATCTGAGTCTTTGGAAACCGTAGTGGTGGTCCTCGATTCATTTAGTAATGAAGCGAAGACCTTGGGTCTAGAGGTTTCCTGGACCAAGACCAAGATCCAGGACTTTGGGGACTTGCTAGGAGAACCTGCTCAGTCGGTACGTGCTTGCGGCGAGGACATTGAAGTCACAGAGAGCTTTACATACCTTGGTAGTGCAGTTCATAACTGTGGGCTGTCAGACCAGGAAGTCAGCCGACGGATTGGCCTGGCAGCAGGGGTCATGAACTCTCTCGACAAGCGTATTTGGAGATGCCGGTACCTGTGCAGAAGGACCAAGCTACGGGTTTTCAGGGTCCTGGTAATGCCAGTTTTGCTCTACGGTAGTGAAACCTGGACATTATCCAGTGTACTGGAGTCTCTTGATGCCTTTTGTATAGGTCTTGCGCGGATCATGGGGTACTGTTGGCGGACCTTTTACCTGCACAATCCGGGATCGCCAACTCAGGCTATATGGCCACCTGGCTCGCTTTCCACAGGCTGATCCTGCCTATCAGGTTGTCTCTGTAAGAGACAACCCTGGGTGGAGGCCTGTGGGACGACCTAGGAGGTTGTGGCTTGGGCAGATCGATCAAACCTGTCGAGAAGAGCTCGAGATGGGCCGGGCCCCTGCCTGGCGACTTGCCATGAGGGATCCAAAAAGGTGGAAGCAGAAGGTGGACGCGGCTATGCGCCCCCGTCGGCGTTAACTCCGGATGATGATGATGATAATAACAATAATAATGATATTATTTCTATTCTCATTATTAGTATGAAAATTATTAGAATCGAGTTAATTATTGCAAGTATTGCAGAAATTATCAAAATCATCATTGTAATTATCATTTTATTATTATCATTTTATTATTATCACTATAATTATTGTCATTATCATCATAATTATCATCATTGTTGTTACTAATATAGGAAATATCATGAAAATCATCATAATTACCCGAATTAATGTTAAAATCATAATTATCATTTAAAAGTGAAAAAGGTTTTTTTCGACCTTTCCCTCAAATGGTTATAATACGCTAGATTTTGGCGTTTTTTCGACTTTTGGGATTTTATTAGTTTTAGTCTTATTTCATTATAAATGGACTCTATGATTATTATTATCATTATCATCATTATTGTCATTATTCTTATGATTATCATCATTATATCCTCATTATGATTATCGTCATGATTATCATTATTATCATTATCATTATTACTTTTATAATAATTATTATGTTAATTATTACTGTCATTTTCATTATGATAACTATTTTTATAATGANCTCATACTAGCATTTCTTAATAATGGAATAATACAGTGATAATCTTTTGCAAAATAGTGAATGACAGATAATACTCATTATACCATTCTAACAGAGTAATATATGATCAATTTTCTATCTTGTTCATGTATCTAGTCCATTCGAAATCATTATTTACTAACTATCTCTGTTAATTATTTGCTATTTACGTGCACTGCTATATCTATTCAAAAAATTAGTCAATCATCTCATTCATACATTTATTACATTACATATTTATCATTGTAGATTTCTTAATCCATGCTTCATACTTATCATTATTATTGTTAATCTCAGCTAATACTAAAGGAATTATATGTATACATTCGTTCCATATAATTATCCTTGAATATGTTAACAATACACAACAACAAATTATCCTTTATAAGAGATCGCAAAAGTTTTTTTCGACATTTCTCTCATAAAGGCTATAATAACGCTAGATTTTTGGCCGTTTTTTTTTGACTTTTGGGATTTTATTGTGTTTTAGCCTTTATTTCCAATATAAATGGACTCTATTTTATCATCATTATTGTCATTATTTCTTATGATTATCATCATTATAGTTTATTATCGTATGATTATCATTATTAGCATTAATCATTATTGGCAGTTATAATGCCAATTATTTTTATAAATGATAAAAACAATAATGATAATTTTAGAAAATAATAAATGACTCCTTATACTCCTTATAATAACAATTATAATGAAATATTATTATTATTATTATGTGTCATTACTCTGAGTAGTGAAAAATTATAGAATAGTGGTTATTTATTGCTAATGATTTGGCAGTAATTATCAGATATTATCATTTAATAGAATTATGCATTTATTATATGATGTTTTTTATTAATTGGTCATTATCATCATAAATTATCAAATCATTATTGTTAATAAATAAAATGACTTACAATGAAAATCATCAGAATTACCTGAAATTAAATGTTAAAACAACATAATTGATCATTTAGAAAGCGAAAAAAGGTTTTTTTTTTCGACCTTTCTCTCAAAACGAGGCGCTCCTGGTAAGAGGAGTGAGTTTGCACCGTATTTTTTAGACTTTTGTTTTTTGATTTTTATTAGTTTTTAGCCTCTTTTTGATTATGATTATTATGCATGCAATTATCGATCATTATGTCATTATTCATATGATTATCATCATTATTGTTACCTCCCATCTTGTTCATAGATATTCGGCATGAGTATGTTAGTTTGAGATCTCACCAGGAGCGGTCAGATTCACTGCGGAGAGTGAGGACTATGCTAATTAATCACTGTGTGTTGAACGCAGTCGCACATTGTATTAACTAGTTTTACTAAATTATAGTTAGATATTCTAATATCTATTGAGTCGTGTCGTACACTCTCTCACGCCGGACAGAGGGAGCAAATAATACTCATTATAATCTGGACCGATATATATTAGGTATATATATTTAATTTCTTTAGTATCATGTATTAGGGTCTAATGATAGCTGATGATCAGTAGCAGATTGATATGGATATTATTAATGGACTAATCGTATTAGTTGATGCACACGTATGGACCTAACTAAAACTCTCACGTTGATTGCCTGTAGGTTTACAGTGAGATTCCATTGGATTTATTATTAATAATTTTCTACTATTGAGTTCTATTATCATGTTAATGTGAGAAGATTGAGAGCGAGGATATGACCAAGAGATATGTGTGTCGATGAGAATCTGTGTGGACATGTGTATGCATTGAATTAACCTTGAAATTAATAAATGAATTATCATGAAACTCATCATAATTACCTGAATTAATGTTAAAATCATCATAATTATCATTTAAAAGCGAAAAAGTTTTTTTCGACCTTTCTCATAACGCTGTAGTGCTAGATTTTGCCGTTTTCGGACTTTTAGGATTTATTAGTTTTAGCCTCACTGCAGTCCCTGTATTCAGGGGGGTCCGTTTAGCCATGCCATCCATTATGATGACAGATTCTGGATCTAGGACGCCATCACTAATTATAGTTCTGGACTGACAAAGCAATACATACATCCACATCACTCCCTAGTACAAAACTCCAGTCAAGAGTTTCTCTACATTTTCCAGATAACTCTGATAAGGGCAACAACTAATGAAAGTTTCCTTTTAGCACGAAAAGCTGGACGGGAAGACTTCCAGACTCCTTTGAGAACCCCCTCAAAGAATAAACTCTGGGAAGATTATGAGTCACGTCAGTTAGCGCTACGAGCTCTAGAACTGGCATCATTACAGGAAATTTTAGGGGATCTTCTCATGTGTGCAACAGCTAGAGTAGAACGAGGAGATCCTACAGAGAGCCGCCTTATCATCAGTGTAGCAGCCCAAGCAGCAGTAGGCATAGGGCACTTAGCAGTGCCAATAGCACTGACTCTTATTGAAGAAGCAATTAAGAAGAGAATAGTGTTGAGAGAAAAGGAGGTTTCCAGAGGCCTGGAGTCGGCAAAGATGAACTTACTACAAGGTGACCCTTTCCATCACAAACCGTGTGGGAGAGAGTCCTCCATCCAAGCTGAAATAGAAAAGATACCCAAACCACTTCAAGTATCTCTTCCGCCTCAACTTCTGAAAGTATTGCAGTCTCGACCACATCAAGAAAAGCGAGGTCAGACACATAGGACTCAAGGAATTCGCAATCATGCAACAGGCTTTCAGAGAATATCTCATACCCATAGGAAAGATATGACACCCACTGTTGGACAAGAAGTTCCATTGGATCGTCACCAACGCTCTAATCAACGTCCCTTTCGGAGAGACAAAAATAAAGGACAAAACTCTGGCTCAATTACAAGAACCAGGAAGCAATGACTATCTGGTCAATGGTCGCCCATTAGGATGGCAAGCAAAATGGCCTCCAGGATGGGCCAAGAATGTAACAGAGAAAGGACTATGTTGGCCATGGTACAAAATGTACCTCCTCTCCACTACTCCAGACCTCGACGAACAACTCCATTGTCACTCCTCAATCGAGTAAAAGAACTATTAAACCAAAAGGTTGTAGAACGGTCAAAAGGAAAAGTGTTTCTAAATCGACTGTTCGAAGCTCCCAAGAGGAATTCACAAGAGTCACGATTAGTACTAGACATAAGCAAATAAATCAACATATCCAAACTTTCAAGTTCAAAAAGTTATCTGTTGCACAAGTCCGTCTTACCCTACAACCAGGCACTTTACTAGCTTCTCTGGATCTAAAAGAGGCATATTGGCATATACCAATACACAGAAGATACAGACCATATCTGGCATTCTCGGCAGGCAACCAGATATATCAATTCAAAGTGCTCCCATTTGGGCTAAACATAGCCCCAAGAGTTTTCTCCAAAATGCTACAACCAGTCCAAGCACGCTTAGTCAAGATGGGAGTACAGATACTCATGTATCTAGACGACTGGTTGATTTCAGCTGTCACACCCAGAGAGTGCCGGTCCATGATTCAAAAGACATTAGAAATAGGAACGTCAATGGGATTACAATTCAACATTCAAAAATCCCACCTTTCACCAACACCATCCATAAAATGGCTTGGATTAATCTGGGACACATCAACAGCAACACTTGCATTGTCAATAGACAACCGCCGCAGATGTTGGAAGAAAATCTTCAAAGCAACTTGTGCATGCCTCACACGTCAATGGGAAAGCCTTATCGGCTCACTAAACCACGCCTCAGAAGTGATTCACTTGGCAGACTTCGATCCGTCGATTACTCCTAGAGAGCCGAACAATATTCACTTCTCTAGAAAGAGATCTCCCCATCCTCTTTCCACATCGACTACGCTATCTGTTAAGATGGTGGACAAGAAAAGGATATTTGGATACAGTGGCTCCATGGGTTCCTCCTCCACCAGTTATGACACTTACTACCGATGCATCAGACACAGGATGGGGATACCAGTCGTCCATAGGCCATCAAGGCTCAGGTCGATGGACCCTATCTGCAAGCCGAATTCATATAAATGTTCGAGAGTTACGAACAGTTCATTTAGCACTACAGAGAGAACACTCAATCAAACAAACATCGGTTTTAGTGCTGTCAGACAATTCAGCAGTCATACATTGCCTGAACAGGCAAGGTTCATCTCGGTCACCAGCCGAGAATCAGAGTCAATATTCAGACTGGCAAAGAACAGAGATATTCACATCTCAGCTTCTCACCTTGCAGGAAAATTCAACCAGTGGGCAGATTCCCTATCCAGACAAACCTCGTTATCAGTGGATTGGACCTTACAAGAACACCAATTTGCATTACTGACAACCCGATTCGGGAGACCAAGAGTCGACCTCTTTGCATCCCCAACCAATCGACAACTCCCAGTATTTGTTTCTCGGACATTAAGGACCGAGGTAGGGGGACCAGACGCATTCACCCTGAACTGGAACAGATGGAATCACATTTACCTGTTTCCTCTCCCCTCACTACACTAATTTACGAGTAGTAAATCAACTCCGCCAATTCAAAGGTCGAGTTCTTCTGATAGCTCCTCTGTGGAGGTCCCAACCATGGATACACACACTTCTACAGTGATGTCCAAATCCCCTCCCTTCAGGGGAAATACTACAGGGCTTCAAGATACTCAGTCATGGCATCCTTGCGTCTCCCACGAATGGAGTTCTACGCAAACACTAAAGACTGAATGTTTTTCCATGCTGATTGGATTGGCGGCGTAGAATCCCTATGGCCTGATAATACGTCCGTGACTGTGCGGGGAGAAAATTTTGTATTTAGTGTTTGACATAGAAACTCCATGCGTGGAGCTGCAAGGATGTCATGAACTGAGTATCTTGAAGGCCCTGTAGTATTTCCCCTTGAAGTGGGAGGGGATTTGGACATCACTGTAGAAGTGTGTGTATCCATGGTTGGGACCTCCACAGAGGAGCTATCAGAAGAACTCGACCTTTGAATTGGCGGAGTTGATTTACTACTCGTAACATTAGTGTAGTGAGGGGAGGAGGAAACAGGTAAATGTGATTCCATCTGTTCCAGTTCAGGGTGAATGCGTCTGGTCCCCCTACCTCGGTCCTTAATGTCCGAGAAACAAATACTGGGAGTTGTCGATTGGTTGGGGATGCAAAGAGGTCGACTCTTGGTCTCCCGAATCGGGTTGTCAGTAATGCAAATTGGTGTTCTTGTAAGGTCCAATCCACTGATAACGAGGTTTGTCTGGATAGGGAATCTGCCCACTGGTTGGATTTTCCTGCAAGGTGAGAAGCTGAGATGTGAATATCTCTGTTCTTTGCCAGTCTGAATATTGACTCTGATTCTCGGCTGGTGACCGAGATGAACCTTGCCTGTTCAGGCAATGTATGACTGCTGAATTATCTGACAGCACTCAAACCGATGTTTGTTTGATTGAGTGTTCTCTCTGTAGTGCTAAATGAACTGTTCGTAACTCTCGAACATTTATATGAATTCGGCTTGCAGATAGGGTCCATCGACCTGAGCCTTGATGGCCTATGGACGACTGGTATCCCCATCCTGTGTCTGATGCATCGGTAGTAAGTGTCATAACTGGTGGAGGTGGAACCCATGGAGCCACTGTATCCAAGCATCCTTTTCTTGTCCACCATCTTAACAGATAGCGTAGTCGAGTGGAAAGAGGATGGGGAGATCTCTTTCTAGAGAAGTGAATATTGTTCGGCTCTCTAGGAGTAATCGACGGAGTCGAAGTCTGCCAAGTGGAATCACTTCTGAGGCGTGGTTTAGTGAGCCGATAAGGCTTTCCCATTGTCGACGTGTGAGGCTTAATGCACAAGTTGCTTTGAAGATTTTCTTCCAACATCTGCGGCGGTTGTCTATTGACAATGCAAGTGTTGCTGTTGATGTGTCCCAGATTAATCCAAGCCATTTTATGGATGGTGTTGGTGAAAGGTGGGATTTTTGAATGTTGAATTGTAATCCCATTGACGTTCCTATTTCTAATGTCTTTTGAATCATGGACCGGCACTCTCTGGGTGTGACAGCTGAAATCAACCAGTCGTCTAGATACATGAGTATCTGTACTCCCATCTTGACTAAGCGTGCTTGGACTGGTTGTAGCATTTTGGAGAAAACTCTTGGGGCTATGTTTAGCCCAAATGGGAGCACTTTGAATTGATATATCTGGTTGCCTGCCGAGAATGCCAGATATGGTCTGTATCTTCTGTGTATTGGTATATGCCAATATGCCTCTTTTAGATCCAGAGAAGCTAGTAAAGTGCCTGGTTGTAGGGTAAGACGGACTTGTGCAACAGATAACATTTTGAACTTGAAAGTTTGGATATGTTGATTTAGTTTGCTTACGTCTAATACTAATCGTGACTCTTGTGAATTCCTCTTGGGAGCTTCGAACAGTCGATTTAGAAACACTTTTCCTTTTGACCGTTCTACAACCTTTTGGTTTAATAGTTCTTTTACTCGATTGAGGAGTGACAATGGAGTTGTTCGTCGAGGTCTGGAGTAGTGGAGAGGAGTAGGTACATTGTTGTACCATGGCCAACATAGTCCTTTCTCTGTTACATTCTTGGCCCATCCTGGAGGCCATTTTGCTTGCCATCCTAATAGGCGACCATTGACCAGATAGTCATTGCTTCCTGGTTCTTGTAATTGAGCCAGAGTTTTGTCCTTTATTTTTGTCTCTCCGAAAGGGACGTTGATGAGAGCGTTGGTGACGATCCAATGGAACTTCTTGTCCAACAGTGGATGTCATATCTTTCCTATGGGTATGAGATATTCTCTGAAAGCCTGTTGCATGATTGCGAGTTCCTTGAGTCCTATGTGTCTGACCTCGCTTTTCTTGATGTGGTCGAGACTGCAATACTTTCAGAAGTTGAGGCGGAAGAGATACTTGAAGTGGTTTGGGTATCTTTTCTATTTCAGCTTGGATGGAGGACTCTCCCACGGTTTGTGATGGAAAGGGTCACCTTGTAGTAAGTTCATCTTTGCCGACTCCAGGCCTCTGGAAACTTTTTCTCTCAACACTATTCTCTTCTTAATTGCTTCTTCAATAAGAGTCAGTGCTATTGGCACTGCTAAGTGCCCTATGCCTACTGCTGCTTGGGCTGCTACACTGATGATAAGGCGGCTGTAGGATCTCCTCGTTCTACTCTAGCTGTTGCACACATGAGAAGTTCCCCTAAAATTTCTTGTAATGATGCCAGTTCTAGAGCTCGTAGCGCTAACTGACGTGACTCATAATCTTCCCAGAGTGTATTCTTTGAGGGGGTTCTCAAAGGAGTCTGGAAGTCTTCCCGTCCAGCTTTTCGTGCTGAAAGGAACTTCATTATTGTTGCCCTATCAGAGTTATCTGGAAAATGTAGAGAAACTCTTGACTGGAGTTTTGTACTAGGGGGTGATGTGGATGTATGTATTGCTTTGTCAGTCCACCATGATGACAGAACTGCTAATTCTGGGAAGGTAGAATTTGTAGGTTCTGGAATAATTAGTGATGGCGTCCTAGATCCAGAATCTGTCATCATAATGGATGGCATGGCTAAAGGACCCCCCTGAATCAGGGAACTGAGTGAAGAAATTGTATGTGCAACTTCCCTTGCATGTCTGGCTGACATAGAGGCGGGTTGATGTTGAGGATTTTCGAGGACGCCACCATAATTGAGTGTCGCCTAAAGGAGAAGTACGTTCTTGAGCTTCTATATCTAATACTTCCTCCCAGACTTCACGACCATCAATAAAGGAAGGTTGGAGTAATGTGGATGACCCATCAGCATTAGTGACATCCTCCTGGGATGGCTGACGTGGATGTACTTGTTCCCATAGGGGAAGGAAAAATTTCTCTTGGTCTAGAGTGTGCCACCTGATGACTTGAAGGAGACTGTAATTGTGAAGGAGACATTGAATTGTGAGAAGACAAACGGCACCGTTTCTCAGGTGGAGGAGGTGATCTAGATCTAGATTGTTGAGTCGACTTCGATGAATTTGAGGGAGCTTGGTCTAATGCGTTTTCTGGCATTTTACCCAGTGCTCCAATCAGCTGTTTTAGAAGCATCGCTATTTGAGGGTTTTCCTCTTGAAATGTCTGTAGATTTTTACTTGAAGAAGGTGAGTGTCTTGTATCTAAGTTATTTTCTGACATGGGGGTTGAAGGAGCTGATGCAGTGCCTGCTGGTCCTCCAAACCATTTTGCCAATTCTGGTGATGACCAACCAAATTCAGAAATTCCACGTCTAGATGCTGAAGCTGCAGCTCTTGGGTATTGGGTCTCTAGAAGTTCCCACTCTGTAGTTGACCGTGGGTCTTCAGAGACTCTTACAACTTCTAACCACCTGGAGCAAGTTGGACACTCATTCGGGTTGAACACTCCTTGTATAGCACATGGTGAATGTTGCGGACAATGGATGTGGTCTGTAGTCCTCACTTTTGTCTTACAGCCTTTTGTTCGGCACACTGAAAGTGTTCCAGGTGACGACATCTGTGAAAGAAGAAGGCTGTGTGTAACTAGGGTCTTCTTAGTTGTCTCATTGTTCATATTTAATATTGTATCTGGATAGCTATTATATATGATAAGAAGTGTAAAAGTAGCTTCTTGAATCACAAAATAATCAGCTGTTGTGGTGACAGGGTAGCGCGATAGGAGCTGCCTCTAGTTGAGGAGCGCACTAGCTCGGGAGCGTGCTAGGAGCATGAGAAGAGCTGTCTCTAGCTCAGGAGCGCGGTAGCCCAAGAGTGTGCGAGGAGCGCGAGAGGAGCTACCTCTAGCTCAGGAGCACAAGAGGAGTTGTCTGTAGCTCAGGAGAGCAAGAGGAGTTGCCTCTAGCTCGGGAACACGAGAGGAGCTGTCTGTAGCTCAGGAAAGTAAGAGGAGCTGCCTCTATCTCGGGAGCTCGAGAAATTGAAATTGAAATTGAAATTGAAACAGTTTATTTAGCCATAAATAGTTAAACAGATAATGTGGGTACATTTAGTGTTATATAAATCGTGGCTCAGCCTTTTGAGAGCGCAACTCTCTTGAAAAGGCTGTTGATTAACAAAGTATGTACAGAGAATTTGGGTCATGTTCATCAGTTATATTGATGGGTACCCAGAATAATATATACAGGAGACAATATAGACAAATACATTAGTCATACATTACAATGGCAGAGACAAGTTAGTAAAATAAACTATACAGAGCATGGAATCAAATACAAAGACGAGATGATAATGGTAGATAATGTAGTTAAAGGATCAAGTATCGGAATATGTTTGGTTATGAATATTATTTATACAGTATTTTACTCTACATTGTTATAGTTATATTTGGCCACAAAGTATTGTTTGAGAGTCTTTTTGAACGCCTCAAAGGTAGGTTTATTCCTCAGATTTTCGGGGAGAGTGTTCCAGATCTTTGGACCACGGTAATCTATAACTGTCTTTGACTGAGACGAGTTACAAAATGGGAGTTGGAGAAGCGAAGCATTTCTTAAAGCATATTGACTATTATTGCGATAATTAAACATTGTGTTATCTGGGCATCTTAGACATTTAAAAACGTATGTGGCAGAACAGTAATCGTTCAGTTCATAAAATTTTAATATATTTAGTTCTCTGAAAGCTGCATTGGTGTGGCCATACCTGTGCAGGCGTGCAATGCATCTCATGACTTTCTTCTGAGCAATAAACAGACATTTGAGGCGATTCTTGGGGACTCCACTCCATACAACATTACAATAAGTAAGATGAGGATATATTAGCGAATAATATATTTGTTTGAAGGCTTCGGTGGATAAGACATTTCTCATATGGTACATGATGCCACGTTGCTTACTGATTTTGCTGACGATATCTTGGATATTTTGGCTCCAGCTTAAACTTTGGTCTACTTTAACACCTAGAAATTTAGTACAATGTGTGCGTTTGATAATTTTACAGTCAAATCGTAGTTCTGGCAGGATGTGAGGCATCTCTTTATTTCGGTGAAATATAACAAAATGAGTTTTATTGGTGTTTAAGTTTAGCTTATTGCTAAGAATCCAGTTGCTTACTTGGCGCAGGTTGTGGTTGGCATTGGTGATCAGGGAATTAATGTTCGGACCAGCAGTATGCAAGGTGGCATCATCAGCATACAAAGTAAAATTAAATAGATCGGTACAGTTCACAAAATCATTTATATACAGTAAGAAAAGGTATGGACCAAGTATGGAACCCTGTGGTACTCCGTTTAACATTTGACAGGTGGGAGAGGAACATTTACTATATGAAACATACTGTACTCTATTTGTTAAGTAAGAATTAAACCAATTATTGGCGTTATCTTTAATACCATAGTGAGCTAATTTCCGTAACAAAATTCTGTGGTTTACAGTATTAAATGCTTTGCTAAAGTCTAAGAATATACTGAGTGTGAACAATTTATTATCAAATGAACGTAATACTGAACTAGTAAAATCTACGAGAGCAGACTGAGTGGATTTTCCATCGACAAAGCCATACTGGGAAGGTGTTATTACTTTATTGCGTTTACAGTATTCTTCTAAGCGTCTTAATGCCAATTTCTCAAGTAGCTTAGCTAATGTTGATAACATGGAAATGGGGCGGTAATTATTAATTGAATTTTTATCACCTGTTTTAAAAATGGGTATGACTTTGGCGATCTTTAATGTATCGGGGAATGTTCCAGTTTGAAAAGAAGCATTAAATATATCAACTAATACATGGGCTATGTATGGAGCAATCTTTTTTATTAGTTTTATGGGTATTTCATCGTGACCAGCGGAAGTATCTTTTGTAGATTTAATTGTGTCCAGCACTTCCTGAACTGTGACTGGGGGAGGGACATCCTGTCATTTACTGGATGTCTCAAAAATGTTTCGAAATTATCATTGTGGTTATGGGAATCCAAATCATAATTCGTTCCGATATCACTGAAGTAAATATTAAATTGTTCAGCAATATCATGAGGGTCAGTCACAACTTTACCACTAACATTGATTGAGTGGGTTTGTTCACACGTGGTCTTGTTACGGTTTAGGATAGTGTTAAGCACCTTCCAGGTCGTCTGTGAGTTACTAGGATCTTGAAGTAACTTGCTTTTTAGGTAAGTTGACTCTGCATTACGGATAGTGGTGGTCAACTGATTTCTAATTGAGCGGAAGGCTTCTCCATAAGTCAGGGGATATTTTGCATATTTTCTTTGTAATTTATTCTTTTGGGCAATCAAAGTTTTTATTTCTGATGTTATGTATGGCTTGGCAAGGGCTTTGGGCTTTAGAGATTTATGTAATAAAGGGAAGAAAACATTGAATGAAGTTGTGAATATAGTATAGAAATTGGCAAGCTTGATATTAGGATTGGCAGAATATAAACCAAGTCCCAAGACACAGTTTGCAAGTGCTGAGTGAACAGCTGGACATTTTGCTCCGAGAAATCCCTATACTGAATATCTATTTTGCCAGACTGTGCTAATGTTACGTTAGACTTGAATTCAGAAAGTACTGGAAAGTGATCAGATATATGAGAGTATATTNAGTATATTATTGTATTATCCAGATTATGTGCAAGGTCATTTGTCCAGATATGATCCAGCAATGTTGCAGAACTGTCTGTCACACGAGTGGGCTTCGTTATGCAGTTATAAAACATATTTTCGTGAAAAAGGTTTGACAGGTTTCTAGAGGCAGGCATGGCTGAATTTAACAAGTTTATGTTAAAATCACCCGTAATATAGCAGCGTTTGTTCTCAGATGCCAAGACTGTAGTGATTTCATTGAGCTTGTCAAAAAAGCTGGTTATTTGATTTGGGACGCTTGTAAATCATACCGACGATAATGTTACTGGATTTATTAAATATTTCAATGAAAAGGCTCTCCATGATGAGGTTATTAACTGTAAGGTCTGGTCTTGGGCAAGCGTTATGTGACTCATGAACAAATACTGCTATACCCCCGCTACCCCTGCTGGTATTATTGGTGAACATCTGATAAGTCTTAATGTCGTACAGGTTTTGAATTTCTTCCGTGAGCTTCGTTTCACACATACACATGACATCAACAGTAAACTTTAGAGGGCAGAACACAGCTGTTTACGAGATCATCAAGATGTTTAGGAATGCTGTTAATATTATATCCTAAAACAGTGAAAGATGCAAAACTTTTATCAACTTAGAGCCGGGAAATATGTACTTAGAAGACGGGTTTTTAAACTGCAGGGACTGTTGAAGGAAAAGATCAGGGTTATTGTTATCAGTCATACCGTCATTGTTTTCAGGGAAGGTTACAAGATTCATACTGTCAATGTCATCAAAAGATAGGATGTTGTCGTGGCGACTCTGGCGAAACAGACTAAAAATTCATTATCACAAATACTGGAAAACGGAAAACATATGGGGGACATTGTATAATGTGAAAAACAATTGAGGAAAATTACAACACCTCAGCTTTTTTAAGCCTTGTAGTATGATGGGGGCTTCCTCATACGGACTGCTTTGCTTGGACTGCTGGGTGTGGGTCTGGCTTCCGCTGTTGCTTGTATGTCGGCTGCGGCAGGTGCGATGCTGTTGGCAGTCACCTCTGGCTGTAGCATCTCGTGGCTGGGAGGTGCCTGGGAGGTGGCACCGGAAGCTGGGGCAGGACTGGCGTCAGCAGACGCAGAAGTGGTTTGGTCAGTCGGAGTGAGGTTTAAGTCGACTGCAGGCGTGTTCGGAGGAACAGCCGGAGGAAAGCTAGCAGGAGGCTGTAGTGCGGAGGACGTCAGGACAGGATACTCTGCTATGGAGGCGACACGAGGCGGTGGCGTGTGCGGAGACGGCGGTGTGGCTTGAGGCTGCGTGGCGTCGCGAGCTGGACGGTCGCGTGCGCGGTCCTTATCCCGACGTTCTCTTACCACAAGTGTCCTATAGTTAAAGTAGGCCACCTTCCCTTGTCGCCTGGCCTCGCGCAGTTCGTCCATCTTGCTTCGGCGGATGTCCAATGTTGCAGACACAGGTCCTCATTCACATAAACTCGTGTTCCGGCGAGCCTGCGGCGATCCTGAAGCACGGATTCGCGGTCCTGGAATCGCGTGAATTTGACAACAATGTCACGTGGTTTGTCCTGCTTCCCCACTCGGTGAGCTCGTTCAAGGTCAGGAGTCAGATTGAAATGTCTGCGGAGAAACTGTGAGACCTTCCAGTGCGACTGCTGCCAGTTCTCGTTCCTCTCCTCTGGAATTCCACTTATGCGAAGATTATTTCTTCTGCTCTGGTCTTCCATGTAGTCCGCGCGGTCCGTGGCTTTCATGAGGCTTTGCTTCACCTCTGCTGTATCGGCAGATAATCCGCGGAGTTGTTGTTCAAGCGCGGCGTTGTCATCAGAGAGCTTTCTTATCTCCTTTTTTGAATCCTCCAGTTCCTTTTGCGTGAATTCGAGGCTTTCGATCACATCACTCAGCTTGCTCGTTGCTTCGCTCAGTGCGCGCTGCAAGTTACAGATGGTATCGTTGAGCGATGTCTTATGAGCCTCCATCAGCGATATGACTTCGCTTCGCATGATGGTCTTAGGGCTGGCAAGGCGCTGGCCGCTGCTGCTCGGAGGCTTCATTGCGTAACGGCAGAAGATACGGTGCGAGAGGCGACGCAGAGGGAGGCGCGGCAGCAGCAGGTGCGGGAGCGCGTCGGGCGGCGGCAGAGTGGTAGCAAAGGGGGAACGAGCTCCTTGTTAAAACAAGGCAGGTTACCCTGTGCAGGTCAGATGAGGTCACCGAGAACTCCAGTGCGCATGCGCAAACTCGGTTTCAAGATCTCCTAATTTTTGATTTTTGTTCCTCCAAAGACTAAGTCCCCCGGATTAAAAATGGCCAAAAACCACACCAACGGATGCACTGTACTCTTAAACCACTCACTGTGTATGATTTTGCTGTCTTCTATTTCTGCTTTCGTTAGAAATCAAGCAAAAATAGCGGAGCAGTAACGGCTGCGTCGGAAGGGGCGAGGAGAGGGAGGAGGAGGTCGAAGTCCAGGTGACAGAAGAGGAGGTCAGACTCGAGGTGACAGGTCGACTCGAGGTGAGGGAGAGGAGGTCAGACTCGAGTGACGGAGAAGGAGGTCGAACTCGAGGTGACGGAGGAGGAGGTCAGACTCGAGGTGACGGAGAAGGAGGTCGAACTCGAGGTGACGGAGGAGAAGGTCAAACTCGAGGTGACGGAGAAGGAGGTCGAAGTCCAGGTGACGGAGGAGGAGGGTCAACACAAGGTGACGGGAGGAGGAGGTCGAACTCGAGGTGAAGGAGGAGGAGATCGAACTCAAGGTGACGGAGGGAGGAGGTCGAACTCGAGTGACGGAGAAGGAGGTCGAACTCGAGGTGAGAGGAGGTCAAACTCGAGGTGACGGAGGAGGAGGTCGAACTCGAGGTGACGGAGGAGGTCGAACTCGAGGTGACGGAGGAGGTCGAAGTCCAGGTGACGGAGGAGGAGGTCAACTCAAGGTGACGGAGGAGATCGAACTCGAGGTGACGGAGGAGGTCGAAGGTCCAGTTGACGGAGGAGGAGGTCAACTCAAGGTGACGGAGGAGATCGAACTCGAGGTGACGGAGGAGGAGTCGAAACTCGAGGTGACGGAGGAGGAGGTCGAACTCGAGGTGACGGAGGAGGTCGAAGTCCAGGTGACGGAGGAGGAGGTCAACTCAAGGTGACGGAGGAGATCGAACTCGAGGTGACGGAGGAGGAGGTCGAACTCGAGGTGGCGGGAGGAGGAGGTCGAACTCGAGGTGACGGAGGAGGTCGAAGTCCAGGTGACGGAGAAGAGGTCAGACTCGAGGTGACGGAGAAGGAGGTCGAAGTCCAGGTGACGGAGGAGGAGGTCAGACTCGAGGTGACGGAGAAGGAGGTCGAAGTCCAGGTGACGGAGGAGGAGGTCAAACTCGAGGTGACGGAGGAGGAGGTCGAACTCGAGGTGACGGAGGAGGAGGTCAAACTCGAGGTGACGGAGGAGGAGGTCGAACTCTAGGTGACGGAGGAGGTCGAACTCGAGGTGGCGGAGGAGGAGTCGAACTCGAGGTGACTCGAAGTCCAGTTGACGGAGGAGCGAGGGTCTTGACGTCGAAGGTCGTCAAACTCGAGGTGACGGAGGAGGTCGAAAGTCCAGGTGACGGAGGAGGTCTCAAGGTGACGGAGGAGGTCGAACTCGAGGTGACGGAGGAGGAGGTCAGACTCGAGGTGACGGAGGAGGAGGTCGAAGTCCAGTGACGGAGGAGGAGGTCAACTCAAGGTGACGGAGGAGATCGAACTCGAGTGACGGAGGAGGAGGCGAAGGAGGAGGAGGTCCCAGGTGACGGAGGAGGAAGGTCGAAGTCCAGGGTGACGGAGGAGGAGGTCGAAGTCCCAGGTGTCCAGGTGACGGAGGAGGAGGTCGAAGAGGTGACGGAGGAGGAGGTCGAAGTCCAGGTGACGGAGGAGGAGTCGAAGTCCAGGTGACGGAGGAGGAGGTCAAACTCGAGGTGACGGGAAGGTGGAGGTCGAAGTCCAGGTGACGGAGGAGGAGGTCAAAACTCGAGGTGACGGAGAAGTAGGTCGAAGTCCAGGTGACGGAGGAGGAGGTCGAGAGTCCAGGTGACGGAGGAGGAGGTCAACTCGAGGTGAACGGAGGTCGAACTCGAGGTGACGGAGGAGGTCCCAGGTAACGGAGGAGGAGGTCAAACTCGAGGTGACGGAGGAGGAGGTCGAACTCGAGGTGACGGAGGAGGAGTCGGAGGTGAGGAGGTCGAAGTTCCAGGTGACAGAGGAGGAGGTCAGACTCGAGTGACGGAGAAGGAGGTCGAAGTCCAGGTGACGGAGGAGGAGGTCAGACTCGAGGTGACGGAGAAGGAGGTCGAACTCGAGGTGACGGAGGAGGAGGTCAGACTCGAGCTGACGGAGAAGAAGGTCGAAGTCCAGGTGACGAAGGAGGAGGTCGAAGTTCAGGTGACGGAGGAGGAGGTCGACTCGAGGTGACGGCAGGAGGGTCAAACTCGGACGGAGGAGGGTCGAAAGGTGACGGAGGAGTCGAAGTCCAACGGAGGAGGAGGTCGAACAGGGACGGAGGAGGAGTCGAAGTCCAGGTGACGGAGGAAGAGTTTGACCCAGGTGACGGAGGAGGAGGTCGAAACTCGAGGTGACGGAGGAGGTCGAAACCTCGAGTGAAGAGGGGAGGTCGGAGGTCGACAGGTAGGAGGTCAGACTCGAGGTGAACGGGAAGGAGAAGAGGTGACGGAGGAGGGCAAACTCGGGTGGAAGAGGAGGGAGGTGAGGAGGAGGAGGTCTCGAAGGTCAAACTCGAGGTGACGGAGGTCAAACTCGAGATGACGGAGGAGGTCAAACTCGAGGTGACGGAGGTCAAACTCGAGGTGACGGAGGAGGTTAATCGCGAGTGACGGAGGTCAACTCGAGGTGACGGAGGAGGTCAAACTCGAGGTGACGGAGGGAGTCGACTCGAAGGTGACGAGGTGACGGAGGAGGGAGGTCGGAGGAGGGAAACGAGAGGTCGGAGGAACGAGGTCAAACTCGAACGGAGGAGGAGGTCAATGCAACACTGAGTAGTGACGGAAGGGATGGAGGTCAAACTCAGAGGTTGAATATCGTCAATCTCGAGGTGACGGGAGGAGTGGAGGTCAGAACTCGAGGTCAGAGGTAACGGAGGAGGTAATTTTCAAGAGGTACGAGAGGGAGAAGTCGAACCGAGGTAGGAGGGGTAAAACTCGGAGGAGGGCACAATATCGGACTGCGGGTGACTAGAGGAGGAGGTAATGAGGTGTCGAGAGGAAGGTCGAAAGTCGAGGTGACTCGAGGTGATCGGAGGCAGGAGGTGAACCTCAGGAGTGACGGGGTCAAGGTTAGAACTCGAGGTGACGGAGGAGGTCAAACTCGAGGTGTAAGGAGGAGGAGCGTCAACGTTAGAGGTGACGGCAGGAGGAAGGTCGAACTCGAGGTGGACGGAGGAGGTCGAGGTGTCAGACTCGAGGTCGAACTCAAGGTGACGGAGGAGAGTCGAACTCGAGTGACGGAGGAGGTCAGACTCGAGGTGAGGGAGGAGGAAGTCAATTTCGGAGGGAGAGGAGGCTCGAATCGAGGTAACGGAGGAGGAGGTCGAACTCGAGGGTCTTAATCATTGTCTCGCCTTGTCTGGCCTATCGAGATAAGGTTTATGGCAGGGTGTAGGGAGGGGGGGTGGGGAGGCTGGTCGGGAGGGGACAGGGGATGGGCGAAGTGGGGGGAAGGGAGAAGGGGAAGAAGTTGGTTGGTGGGGGAAAGGTGAAAGGTGAGGTAGGGGAAGAGGATGTAGGGAGGTGGGAGGAAGAGAGAATGGGAGAGGCAGGGGAGGAGGAAAGGGGAATTGTGAGATGAAGTGAAGGGGGGGGGGGCAGAAGAAGAAGAGAAAGAAGAGAGGAAGGAGAGGAACTGGGGAAGGATGGGAGAGGAAAATGAGGGATGATATTGCATGGTTTTGTAGAACAGCTATGGGTTGGGGGGAGGGGGAGGGGAATGGGGAAGAGAAAAATAGAAGTTACTAAATGGATTTTGTGGAATAGTTGGAAATGGTTGGGAGATTTCATGGAGTGGAGGGAAGGGGGTGGAATGGCACTGCATGGAGTTTAAGTGGAGAGGCACTGGGGATGGGGAGGGTAGACGACAGTGCACTAAACTTGTGAAGATGGAATAGGGAAAGGAGGAAGAGAGAGGGGAAGGGTGACAATTTTGCACGGGTCATATGGGGAATAAAGATAGGGTGAGGGAAAGGGACAAAGAGGGGGTGGGAGAGGGGAGGGGGAGAGGCAAGGAGGTTAAGATTAAAGTGGCGATGGGGAGGGAGGAGGGACGAGGAGGGGAGGGGGGGAAGGGTAATGGCGTGAGTTAGGGGGGGGCGTCTTGTGGACTGGTTGAGTGTCTTGGTAATTGGCAATATTCCTGGTGGGGGAATTGGTCAGTGTGTCTATTTGTCATCATTATGTCCGGCATAGTATTGTATATATATATTTATTGGCTTATCATATTTATATTTTCATTCATTGCTTATTGAGTGACGCATTTTATCTTTTATTTTTATTGCTATTCTTAGTATCATTTTTCGCAACGCCTTTGATACCTTATTTCATGAAACCTAACGTTAATCTTTCTTAATTGGCCTGTTTTTTATTCACTGTGTTTTGCATGATTTCAGAGCAGAACGGCCGCGCACAGCTCTAGCTAGAAAGGGGTTGCTGCGAAAAAAGTAAACTCATTACTGACGCCAATTAATTCGCGAATGAATGGGATTTTTTAAAGAATGACCTTAAAAAAAAAGAAAAAAAAATTGTCGGAAGAAAGACGTGCAACATATTTCGAAAAACGAAGCACACAGCGGAAGGAAACTCTGCTGGACAGCGAGCGTGATCTGGTAATACCGCAGGCAATGGGCGTGGGAAAATGCTCGAAGGCGATAGAAAGGAAGAAAGAAAGAGAGAGACTGACGAAAGAGGCGTGATGGGGGTCAAGGGGGAAAGTGGGAGAAGGGGGGGAAGATCCAGAGGAAGGAAGGGCTGGGGGAGGGGTGAGGAAGCTTTTAGGGGGAGAGGGCGAGGGAGAACCAAGCCCTAGTCTGAAGGCATATATCCCGAAGGGTGACACACGAGAGAGAGAGAGAGAGAAAGAAAGAAAGTAGGGAAGGAGAAAGAGAGGGGGAGGGTAGAGAGGAGGGAAGGGGAGAAAAGGAGAGAAGGAAAAGACCTAGAAAAAAAGAGGAGAGAAAAGGCGAGAGGAAGGAAAATCCACAGACAGCGCAACCCCCCCCGTAAAATTGATTCCTCCGGGATCGAAAATTGCCAGGCCGCATTGTCATGGTGTAAGGCGGGCCGCGGGGTATTGTGGGTTAGTCCTGGGCCTAAAGGGATTACCCAGGGAGTTGATAAACAGCCCGACACAGGTACTGGCACACGCGTAAACTTCTCTTTGGCTCCTAATGAACCGAGGAGAAATGGGTTGAGGATTAGGACGGTGTGTTGGCGGGACATTTGAATGATAAAGAATAGGGAGGGACGTGGGAGAAAGAAGGGAGATAGATGGAGAGGGAAAAGGGAAGGGGAGGGGAGAGAGAAAGAGGAAGGATAGGAAAGAGGAAGAAGGGGATAGGGAAAGAGAAGAGGGAAGGGATAAGAGAGAGGGAAAGGGCATAGAGGATAGGATCAGGGAGATAGATATATAGATAGATAGAAAGAGGAGAGAGGGGGGGGAGGGAGGGAGGGATTTAAGGAGAGAGAGAGGGAGAGATGGAGGGAAGGAGGAGAAAGAGACAGACAGAGAAAGAGGAATGGAAAGATAGGAAACGATAGACAGACCGAGAGAAATATAAAGAACAGTTACTTAGACAAACCAACAGAAAGATAAAAACAAAATCAGATGCAAATATTTTTCTAAGACACGGAAATGCTGTTAACCAGGACACAGCTTTTAAGACATCGTGAGAACATAAAACAGAACAGCAACAGTGAATAGAGAACATTTAACAGTGAACAGAGAACAGTTAGAGAACAGTAGCAACAGTGAGAACATTTGAACAGAGAGAACAACAGTGAATAGAGAACAATAGAACAGTGAAAGAGAAAATAGAACAGTGAATAGAGAACAATAAACAGAGAGAACAGTGACAATGAACAGAGAAATGAACATAGAACAGAACAGAACA